GGCCAGCTACTTATAGGAGGCGCTTGAAAAACTCTTACACCAGGGTTCATCTGGTCGTTGGACGATTTAGTAACCAACTTGAAAAGAAGCAAGTTATAAAGTGCGAAGGGGTGGCACAACCATGAACACAACTTCTCAGTCCATCAGTAGCGCCAGTGATAACAATATTTGTAGGTCAAAAAATAAAAATAAAAATAATTGACCTTCCATAGAAACTCAAATCAGCTCATAGACAATTTTTAAATTGTAGACCTATATTTTTATATTTTTCAACCTATGTTTTTGGGGAAAGTTTTTTCTTATAACAATCTGTTTCTGAGATATGTATTTACAATTCCAGGATGGCGTCAGCAACTACACCTGTCAAAGTGGTGCACAGGTCTCGTCAAGGGGGGAGGAGTCAAGACACGGCGAGAAGACGAAGTAGCTCATTGAGTAATGGTACAATTTATTTTATCTACATTCGTTTCGTATTAAAATCATTCAGCCTTTAAAAGATAACTTCCTCATCAAAATCTGTTAAACAAAAAGTAACTCCACTCCAAATTTTGTAATTTTTGCTTGAAATCATTTTTCGAATTAAATTTTACCTAAAAAAGCTGTAGTTTTTTATAGTTGTTTAGTTTTTAGAAGCCTCAAGCACTATACAACCCAAAGCGTTCATGGGGTTGATTTTTCATTTGGTGTCACACACAACAGAAGGAGATTACAACCTAAACGCAGTATCAATAGTATCAATAGTAAGAGGCCAGCAATTAAAAACACTGGTATAAGCCGTTCCACAAAAGAAGGGGAATATAAATGGCGGCGCTTGACAGCTGACAGCGCTGCTACAGTCAGCATACAAAGTTTAGTTTATTCATACTTGTTTTCTATTTCATGTTTTTTCCTTTTATAGGATTAAATCCGTCATAAAATGGATCCAAAATATGAACCAAAGCCAGTTTACAGTCCTCCTTTCCTTTCGTGTGGGACACCGAGTCGTTCAACGACCCGATGAACCCTGGTGTCAGAGTTTTTCAACCGCCTACTGCAAGTAGCAGGCCTCTGACATGGTTGTGTAACGACCGCCATCATAGACAGCAACCGGGACCGCCGGCTTAACGTGCCCATCCGAAGCACGGAACCATCTTACTTGCGGACAATCAGGTGGTTCAGCCTGCAATGTCCTAACCAGACTGGGATCAAATTCACAAAGTGATAAATATCAACTTTGTGAGTGACCCCACCGGGAATTGAACCCGGAACCTTTGCGTGGCAGGCAGGCATACTAACCACTGCGCCACATCGGCTGTCCAGTGTTTACAGTGTTTACAGTGTTTACACTTTACTGTTACATGCGGGAAGCTATAATTTCCAGTTAAATTTGTGCATAATTTTGTGCACCGACATTGAGATTTAAATTATGCTGACCGTACAGACGTGTGCGACTATAGACAGCAATATTGTGCAAGCGAGAGACAAATAGGAGGTCCGCCATTTATACTCCCCTTCTTTTGTGGAACGGCTTTTACTTAGTGGTTAGTAAAATCATCGATAAATGACGCTTGGCGACAAGAGCAGGACTGCCCTGAATCGATACTATTGCAGCATTTTAGTTAATTATCGTCGATGTTTTTTCCAGGTCAATCGGGCCCTCCTACTACATCGCAGCCTGCTTTGATTCCCCTCCTAGCGCGTCAGGCGGCAGGTCTGCGCGCCGAGCAGAGGCGCGGAGCTGCTGTAGCTTCTAGTATATGCGTCAGAGCGGGTAGAGATCTGCCTGTGTTTGTGGACTATAACCGGCAAGTCTGGTAAGCTATGATTAAAATTTTTGCCCAGTGCATTGCTACATAAGTTTTACCCATTCCACTTATTTTTTCCATGCCACGTATTCTGCCTACATATCTACCTATTTTGCCTATTTATGCCGCCTGTTTTGCCTACATGTCCCACCTTTATTGCCTACTTATCCTACCTATTTTTCCTACTTATCCCACCTTTTTTGCCAACTTATTCCACTAATTTTTCCTACTTATCCTACCTATTTTGCATACTTATCCTACCTACTAGCTGCCCGTCAGCGGTTTCACCCGCTGCAACCTATTATTTCGCGGGAAAAAGCATTACTCGCCAAGAGATGTCGCTGTTAGTTTTCGGCGAAAACATTTAAAACGCGAATCGGCTCAGTGACGCCACCTTTGCAAAAATATTGGAATATGCGTGATCCCGCAGGAATAAGACATTTTCCTGTGGTAAAAAGTAGCCTATGTGTTATTCTAGATACTCTTCTATATTTTTGCAAAATTTCATGTCAATCTAACCAGCCGTTTTAGCGTGATGTCGTAACAAACACACACACAAACATCCGCCTTTATAATATTAGTAGGATTTTTCCCACACATCCCACCTATTCTTCTACTTATCTCACGTATGTTTCCCACTTATCCCACCCATTTTGCCTACTTATCCCACTCATCCTACCTATTCTGCCCATGTTTATTCCTCTAGCGCTGCCGTCGCTTCCAGTATATGCGTCAGAGCGGGACGGGACCTGCCTGTGTTCGTAGACTATAACCGGCAAGTGTGGTAAGCTATGATTCCAAATTTTGCTCAATTATTGCACCGAAAATCGCATTAATTTTCCCCATGCCCTAATTTCCGATTATTCTACCTGTTTTGTTCTACCTTTTAATGTTCAATTATTTCACAAATTTTTCCTACTTATTCCACCTATTTGCCTACTTATCCCACCTATATTGCATACTTATCCCACCTATTTTGCCTACTTATCCCATCTATTTTGCCTACTTATCCCATCGATGTTGCCCATCCCACCTATTTTTCCTACTTATCCCACACATTGTGCCTACTTATCCCACCTATTTTGCCTACTTATCCCGCCTATTTCGCCCACTCATCCTACCTCTTTTGCCTACTTATCCCACCTATTTTGCCTACTTATCCCACCTATTTTGCCTACTTATCCCACCCATTTTGTCTACTTATCCCACCAATTTTGCCAATTTATCCAACCCATTTTGTATACTTATCCCACCCATTTTGCTTACTTATCCCGCCCATTTTGCCTACTTATCCCACCTATTTTACTTACTCATCCCACCTATTTTGCCCACTTATGCCACCTATTTTGCCTACTTATCCCACCTATTTTGTTTACCTACTTGACAAGAGTGGAACAGGCCTGAATTGATATCATCGATAGCTTTTTAAACTTTAGAAACGATACTATAGATAGTATTGCTGCATTTTGAACTATCGATAATTTTTCGATAGTACACTGTCGAGCGGCAACATACTTGGCTGACAGGTCAATTGAGCAACTTTTTAAGACGACCAAAAACAATATTTATTTTGTATGGGAATATTGGAATATGACGTCGTATTTTAATATTTTGGAAGGAGTCGCAACAGTAACGTTTAAATATTTGTTAAATAATTCTAACTTTTAATAGTGTGAAAAACGACGAAGGATGTCTGTAGTATTTTTGGACAATAGTTTTAAGCATACAATTTTTGTATTTTATTTACGACGCAGTCGAGTATTATCCCAATAATAGCCCAATAGTGGACTATCGAAAAACTATTAACTAGCGGCAATTCTATTTGGTACTTTCTCTTTCCAGGGTGGCGTGGTGGGGCTCCGCGGGGGTGAGGTGCGGGGGTCGCGCGGGGGACCGCGTCGCCGCCTTGAGAGGCACCACGCCCAAAGACGCCGCACATGCGAGGCAGCTGCTCAAAACATCGCCCGCTCCTGTTGTGAGTATCCAAGCATGTACATTGTCGCGTACGCATTTTACGTTGACCCGAATTATTGGGCCATCGTTAAATCTACACGTTTTTGTTTGTTCGCAACAAGTACGCACTTAGCAAGCAAGTGCACGCGCGCTCATCATCTTAATACTGTATTAAGTTTTGGGGTTATTTAATATAGTTTTATAGCAGTTTATCAGTGTATATCATTTATCAGAGACTTCCGTTGGGATAACCCCAACAAAGTACTTTGACTTAGAGTATATAGGTACAGAGAGTAACAGAAAGGGTATAACAAGCCGAAAGGAGGTCTGCAACTTGAAGTTCTGAACCTGAGTTACTGTTTTATTGAAACTGATTGTAAAATATGTTGGTTGCAGGTAGACATTTTATTCCATCGTGTGCCTCTGGGAAAGATCTACGTTTTAAATAAACGGGATTTAGAAAGTATAGGTAAGTTTTCTACAGTAAATTAACGTTAATTTCCTTGCATGTGTTATACATAATATAAATCTTCCTCTTGAATCAGTTATGTGGATTAGAATAAGTTAGCGAATTCTACAACAGACAGAGAAACAAAAAGACTTAATTTTGAATACCAAATTTTAAAACCCTCCCCGTGTTAGGTAATACACGTTTTGTAAAATTTTGCAAGTTCTTCGACTTCATTTTGTACTAGTGTACTACTACTAAATACTTCGTTTCTAGCCTGTCGTAACAAAAAGTATAATATCTAGATTATAATATAACACATGCTAATTCTGCTGATTTACCCTGTTGCCAATACAGTATTCTTCCACATTTGCTTCAGGCATCAAACTGGACAGCGAATGCAACATGACGAGCGTCGAACCCGGGTCCCCGGGCGCGCGAGCCGGCCTGCCGCCGCCCGGCAACCAGTGGGCCGTCACAGAGGTCAACAATAGGCACATCAACCTGGTCAAGGTAACTCGTTTACAAGTAGATGTGTCAAAAAACAAAAAAAAACCGACTGCGGTAATATTAAAAGTAGTATTTTGCTGTAAAAATCCACCATCTTGAATCTATAATTTTTTAATATCGCCAGTGTCACTCGCGCTGCTGAGACGAATCTAACGACACCTCATATGTCAAAATCCATCTATCCGTTTGGGCTGTAGCCCGTGAAAAAGAATTTTCTTGTCCACATACATACATACACTCGAAAAACTTAACCTTCCTTCTGAGGCAGTCGGGTAAAAATAAAATATGAAATTGAAAAAATATCAGGCATCGACCGTGGATCAAACCCGGGCCGCAAGCGTCAACGGCCCACCGCTCTGCCACTGAGCTATCGATGCACTGATTGATGCTTGTTAAATTTCAATCTCTTGATGCTCGTCTCCAAGCGACGATCTAGCGACATCTGTATAAAGTATTTACAACTTTATTGCCTGGTTAGACCATATTATGAGTGGAATTCAAACTATAATGATGAAGCTGTTAAAAGTGCACATATTACAATCCCAATAACTCGTTTAATAATGTCTATTTCGAAAAATGTCCCATCGACAAAATGACTATAGATATAGCAAAAAGTCCAAATGTCAGATTCGCAAAATATCTCATTCGCAAGATGAAAAATGACCATTTCGTGAATTTTTATTTTGGTAATTGATCATCTCAAATCTTCGAGCATCTTCCGTCCCGTTCCGGCCCGAGGGGAGTCGTTATAGCTACTTTACTCTATACAAATATTTCTGCCATTTTTTGCGGGGGGAGAGGTAAAGCTGTCAAATCAAGCTAGTGTTGGAATCGACAATATCGATACTTGACCTTTCGATTAATTACATCAGTCTACTCAATATTGTGTCATATTATTGCATTTTCAAAAGCAACTTAGTTCTTGAGAATAGGATTTTGTAGTAAATAGAAATATAGGCGCAATAACATCATTTTAAATATTGCATAAGGTATAAATTAACCAAAATATGAATTTCTTTCCCCATAGACCAGATAATACAATTATGTAGGTACAATCAATGCAATACCTACCTTCTATTTACTGATCATTAAGTATCATAGGATATTATTATGTAAGGGAATTTACTAAAAAACCATCTATACAACAAGTCATACATAATAACTTCGACTATCTATCTATCTTCTACGCCGAGGCTCGTGGGTTCGATTTCCACCGGACACAAATATTTATAAAGTAAATTTTCAAATATTCGTGTTTTGTCTGAGCACTCCGGCTGATAAAAGACCACCGACTGGACCGAAACGGTCGCGAAACCGCGATGTAATAAGAAGTAGGTAAGTGCGAAATCCTTTTTATATATGTAATTAAAGTTAAAATGTCGCACTTAAGTTTAAACAATTTAAAGGACACCAAAACGTCCAACGACCTGATGAACCCTGGTGCCAGTGCTTTTCAACCACCTACTGCATGAAGCAGGCCTTTGAAATGGTTGTGTAACGACAGCCGTCTAAGTGACCATAGACAGCAACCGGGACCGACGGCTGAACATGGCTCCAAAGCACGGAACCATCTTGCTTCTCGGACAATCACGTGATTCAGCCTGTGTGGTGTCCTGACCAGTCTAGGAACATATTCACAAAGTGATAAATATCAACTTTGTGAGCGAAAGGAATTGAACAGGCAGTCGGACTAGCCATTGCGCCACGTCGGCTGACATCCGATGTCACCCGATCAGCTGAGACTGACATTAATTTTCAATGAAACTCGAACAAAATCAGGGTTTCCCAAAATCCATAGTAAAAGTTGTTCAATTTCATAATCTGATCATGCCTGCAAAGTTTTCGGTACAGACCGTCTTTACATAGTATAGGTTTGTAACTATGGCGATAGAAAAAGTATCGACGTTTTGTATTACTTGGGTCACTGCACTAGCTTGGGTTCAGTGTGGCTCGATACTTCAAGTTAAAATTATCGTTTTTTCATTGAATATCGACTGGAAATGAACATCATTGAATAAGTAGAACAATCCCAAACTAACATTCTAATCTAACTTAGCAAGCTATTTACTGTTAATAAAGGCATCAATAAACTAAGATCTTTAATTGTTACCTATTGTATGGTGGAATATTATAATCTTTATTTGTAAATTAACGATACTATGATTAACACCATTGTTCGACACAAAATAATAACAAAAGGAACAAAATACAATTATTTTATTGTAGATCCACCTACAAAAAAACTCCACATCAGACATTTTGTACGACTTACTGGCAACACTTATGTACAATTTTCAATCGCTAATTTTATATATTATTTAGTGATATTGTACTGGAGGAATACTTTCAGATGAAAAGTGATATTGTTCTGTTGTAAATTTGTATTTTTACATATTTTTAAAGGCATTATTATCTCTACAATTCGGCTTTTTATCGGAGCTCATTTGACATGCGCGACTGGACTCGTTCTAGTAAAAGATCTGACAGCAACTGGTTTTTGTAGTAAGATAAGCCCAAGTGGGCATAGGCCGTGACAGAGGGGAAGCTCTTCGTATGGCGTCTCCATACCTAGCCTTCCTCCAAGTCTCAAATAAACACTTTTTTTTTGCAAAACTTTTTTTGTTACTATTTTCTTGTGTTTGTGTCTCAGGCCCTTGAGTGTAATTTTACTAGTGAGTAACCGATAGGGTAAATATGAAGGCTGGTGCTTACTTCTTAAGAATCACTTTCTAGAACATATCGAACAATGAAAAAAAAAGGTACTCCCTGCTCATCGCCAATTTTGTATGGAACGGCCAAATTTTATTTTCATATTTCGCCCTACGTTCCTTGATGAAAGTTGTTCCTTATCTCCAGCCTGTCCTGAAATTTCGCTATCAGTCACTAAAGTAAGGCCAACCAGACGAGATACATCTGAGAGACAGCTGACATAATACCATATGATATGACAGATAAGGACAGATTGTAATAACTGTCACCGAGTCATACAAAAGTTGTTTACATTAATTATCTCGTCTCGTTGGCCATAGTTTAGTAATATTTCGTCCTATGCAATGTACTTACTATTATTATTTATTTCACAGGGCGGCGAAGACGAGATGAACAGAATAAGCCTGCACGGCACCGAAGTGTCTATTCTGATACAACCCTCGCCGCTGGTGAAGAAAATACGACACGCGCTCAAAGGAAACAAATCCATACTGTCCATGCGGTAACATATGTAAGATTCCATACTATCCACTGTCCATATGTAATAATGTGTTCTATTTTATGCAAATATTCAAAGTGACCCATAATGTAACGTCAAGAAAATTGAATTCCTTGTACTGTGAGGTATCCCGAATCACTCCCATGTATGTTCCGCGATTTTTTGTAGTCATCGAGTTAAATAAATAAAACACCCATTTTGTCGAAAACGCAAGACGCAGACCTTGAAGCCCTGCTGGCACAGGACCGGTTAAAGCTTGAATTGCCTTTTGACGCCACTGTCGAGTCTACCCTCCTGTAGGTAATGATTACATATTTATACTATCCATACGGTAAAATTATGTAATATTTCATATTGTCCATACGGTAGCATATACGTAATATTTCATGCTAGCTAGTTTTTTAACGGGAAAAGGTACTTTTTTTTGCGTAGAGCAAAGACCTATAGGTACGGGTATTCTATACATCTACTTGAGCCAAAAACGCCCGGTAGCCGGATTCAACACCGTGCAGGGAGGGGGGGAGGGGGGGTTAAAGTAGAGTCCTCCCGGCGCTCAGAAAAAAAAATCTGTTGGATTATTTTGGACCTTTGAGACAAGTTTGGTGTCATTTTCAGGTAACTAGATGATGCCCGATTCATTCCCCATACCAGTTTTTTAGGGTTCCGTAGCAAAATAAGTCGCAATACTTAAAATAATAAATTTTTTGTAGTTACAAAATGTAAACAAACCAGCATATTTTCATATTTTTGTATGCAACTTGCTTTATAAAAAATACTGTCTGAAAGTCCAATTAATGCAGATTATTTGAACATTAACATTATTAATATTTTCATTTATTTTCTGCGTTAAAAAAAATAATCCTACACGTACCTAACTGATTCCTACGGGCGGGGCGCAGGTTTCGCTCGGTTTTCTGTTGGGAAATAGTGTAAGATTTTGAAGTAAATCAACACTATTTAGTATGAATGGTTAAAACAGGTCCACTTGAGTCGAAATCGACTGATAGGAAGCTTCAAATCTGCGACAGGTAGGATTAGGAGGGTTTCAAAGTACCGAGGCCTCGGCGCTCAGAAATAAAAATGTGCTGGTATCGTTTAACCTTTGAGACAAGTTTGGTATCGTTTTCAGGTTACTAGATGACGTCCAATTAATTCCCCTTACTTACCAGATTTGTAGGGTTCAGTAAAAAACATGACGCAATACTAAAATTATTATACTTTAGTAATATACAAAGCAAAGAAACCCTCATACTTTCATACGTTTGTATCAATCTTAGATAAAATTTATTAAATACACTGTCTGACAGCACACATAATGTAGATTCTAAAAAATTACAGGAGATATAAATCCTTTAGGGCCAAAATGTTGAATTCCTAAAATGTTGAATTCTCAAAATGTTGCATTCCCAAAATGTTGAACTTAGTTCCCTAAAAAGTTGAATTCCTAAAATGTTGAACTGCGCAATGAAATTTTTCTAAGTGTCGAATAGTCTTAATACAGTTTTTACTATAGGTTTTCCCAAAATGTTGAATGTAATTTTTCTAAGTCCCAAATGGTCTTGATACTGTTTTTACTATAAGATTTCCCAAAATGTTGAATGTGTGATTTTTTAAGTGTTTGACTCTCATGACGAGCTCTAAATATTACGTGACAGCTGTCAAATTTGTTATTCATCTATCTCGGAAACTATGCATGCTGGACTCCTAGTTTCTTTGAAGAAGTTGTAGGTATGGGCAAGACCAACATTTTATGTGACAGCTGTCAAACTTGTAACTCATCTATCTCGGAAACTATGCATGCTGGACTCCTAGTTTCTTAGAAGAAATTGTAGGTATTGGCAATACCAACATTATTATTGTGACATTTAATGTGACAGCTGTCAAACTTGTATCTCATCTATCTCGGAAACTATGCATGCTAGGTATCCTTGTTCCTTTAAGAAAGGTGTAGGTCTAGGCAAGACCAACATTTTATGTGACAGCTGTCAAACTTGTTACTCATTTATCTCGGAAACTATGCGTGCTGGACTCCTAGATTCTTTGAAGAAGTTGTAGGTATTGGCAAGACCTATATTTTATGCGACAGCTGTCAAACTTGTAACTCATTTATCTTGGAAAATATGCCTGCTAGACTCCTAGTTTCTTCAAGGAAGTTGTAGGTCTTGGCAG